GGAAACACCCACCTGAGGAGCCATCCCCGCCATGCCTCGCGGGGGGTTCATCCGCTGCATCGGGCCCCCCATATTCGGATGCCCTGTGCAAAGGGAGAGGGGAAGGTGAACAAGGCAGCAGGGCATAAGCTCCCCTGAACCCCAACTTCCGGGGCATGGCTCCCTGAACCCCACAAACCCCCACTCCCAGAGCTCTGTTCCCCCAACCTCCCTCAACCCCCCACTTCCGGGGCATGGCTCCCTGAACCCCCCACTCCCATGGGGCTCTGCTCCCCCCAGGGAGCCCCCAGCACTGAGAGGGGACTCCCAGTGAGGGGTCATAATCCCAAAGTGCCCTCCCAGCGCAAGGCCTCATCCTTCCCCACAGAGACGGGATGGGGGGGGGCTGCTCCTGGGCTAGGCTGTGTGGGGCTTCCCCTCCTCTCCTGGGGGCTCCTGTCTCTTTGCAGTGAAGGGTCCCCCCCTTGGGGGAAGGGCTGCTCCCAGCCGGGGCCCTTGTCTCCTCCCTGGCGGCCGACCCACTCATGTCCCGCTGGTGCCCCAGAGCTGGGGGCCGACAGGGCCTGAGGTGGCTAGGGAGAGGGGGGAGCAGACCGGAGATTCCGTGCTGGGGAGGGGCCACGCGGGTGGCATGACTCACCTTGCGATCTCGTGCTGGGGTCCATGGTGTTGGGCAGCAGCGGCTGGGAACCTGGGACCCCCACGGGCGGCTGCGGGAACAGAAGGGCCGTGAGCCTGGAGCTGCAGCCATCAGGAGGGAAAGGCATGGACCGGGCTCCCCCGGGGAAGGAGCACCCCCACCTCCCAGGGAAATGGCACAGACCGACCACCCCCCCCCCCCCGCCCTGGGGAAGGAGACTGACTAAGGCCCCCCCCATACCTAGGGCTCCACTCCCTGACCCACTGCCTGAAGAGACTGGGCAGGGAGCTGGCCTGGACATGGGGCGACCCGCCCTGCGAGGGCCCCAGCTCTCAGGGCCCCGGGGCGACTCACCTGGTTTGGCATGCGGAGCGATGGCCGGGGGCCGCCGGGGTAGCGAGGGGACATGAAAGGCTGCAAGAGACAGAGCAGGGGGGCAGGTGAGAGCACATCCCCAGAGCCCAGCCAGGGCGGGGCACGAGAACGGAGCCCCCGGGGCCGGGGCAGGGCGGCCTGAGCTGGGAGCTCACCCGCTGCTCAGAGGCGTCTAACGGCAGGCAGTGATGCGTGGCCCGGCTAGAGGCTGCAAGGCAGGAACCCAGGCGTCCAGGCCCAGCCAGACCGGATGCACCCAGCATTCCCCGTCCCGCGGCCCTGGGTAAGCGAGAGGCTTGGTGCCCGCAGGGGACGGGACAGAGGTAGGGTCTTACTGCACCCCTCAGCTCCTCCCCCGAGGAGCTCTCAGCACTTTGCCGGGGGGCCCCGTATCACTAGCAGTGTCCCATTTGGCAATGGGGAAACTGAGGCAGTGACTTGCCCAAGGTCACCCAGCCGACCTGTGGCAGGTTTCCCAAGCGCCCGGCCTGTGCCTCCCGCCCGGAGCCATCTGGACTCGTTGTGGGGCTGCTGTTCCTGGCGTCGCTGCGTTGACACAACGGACACAAGGGGGTTTGCCCTGAAGCTGGTGTTACGGCTGCTGCCCCGGCCCCTCTGCTTCTGCCCCCGGGGTTTGCATTTCAGCTCGCTCCCAGGCTTGTTCTGAGGCGTCTCCCAGCGGCAGGCCCCTCCGGGCGCTGGGCAGAACCGCCGTGATAGGGCTGGGAGCAGCCTGCGCTGCCATGGCCTCGCAGAGGCCCATGCACCCAGGTTGGCACCCGCCAGCCAGCCCCCCAGCTGTCCCGCAGGGACTGTCCCTTCACCCCCCCAGGGCAGGACTCTCCCCAGTCCCCGTGAAGCAGAGCCCAGGGGGGCCGGAGGGACCCAGCGCCTCTGGAGTGGATGGATCCTAAGGGCTGAGGCGTCCCGTTCCCTGAGGGAGAGCTGGGCTCCCCCACAGTAGTGCCCAGGCAAGCCCCTGCCCTGCTGCCCCCAATTTACCCCATTGGTCCCTCCCAGCTGCAAGGGTCTCCCCACATCACTCGCCCCCAGCCCCTCCCTCACAGCGACAGACACCCGGATCGTGCAAGGGCCAGGGGCCTTGTGTTGTGCACAGACGCTGGCACTGGCTTTGGCGGGGCCTGGGGGCGGCATGGCCCAGCCCTTCTGCACGGCTGCCCCCCCATCCCAGGCCCCAGCCTTGCTCCCTGCATTCAGGCCTGGCTGGGGCAGGTGTCAGCGTGTGAAGGGGCGGGGGGGGAGGGCTGAGGGTCCCTGGAGGCCCCTATCTCCCAGCTGGGGGATGGAGGGTGCCAGGGCAAAGCAGATGATCTGGGGCCTGCTCTGACCCACTGTGCAGTTCCCACCGGGCGGAGCGGGGTGGGCCGGGCAGCTGCCCGGGGCAGGGCACATGGGAAGTGGAGCTCACTCCCTGCCTGTCCTGGGGGGCCGTGCTGAGCCCGCGCTCGGGGGTGGTGGGAGGGGCCTGAAAATGGGAATCTGCCGGGCACTGGGCACAGCCCTGGGCTGTGTGTGGCTGCGTGGAGCGGGGTGCAGACGGGGGGCTGGGGTACACCTGGGGATCTCCACGGGTCTGTGGCAACGTCCGCCCAGCCGCCAGGCCGCAGGAGCCCCCAGAGCCTCAGGTGAGCGACCCCACGCAGAGTGGGTGAGTATGCAGGAAGCGGGGGAGAGAGTGGCTTGTGGGGGGGATGCGCACACTGGGGTCGGCAGGCTTCTTCCCCAGGCCCAGCCTGTTGGGGGGCGGTGGGCCGGCTCGCTCCAGACGGCCTTACCTGGCTGTGGGGCCCCAGCATGGGGGCGGCAGGGTTGTGGGGCGGAGGCTGAGCGTGCGGTGATGGCTGAGAGCCCGGAGGTCCCTTCAAGAGAAACAAACCACAGGGCGTTACAGGAAGGAGGGGCTGGGCCGAGCCCCCATCACCCGCTGCCCATGGCCCCTGGCCTGCTCCTAGGCCCTGCTGGTGGGTCCCTCTCCCTGGGGCTGCCAACCAGAGACACCCCCCCAGTGTACCTGAGCTCCCCGCTCACCTCGGCCTGGCTGCTGCCCTGAGCCAGGACACGGGGCCACTGCCCGCCCATGCTGAGCCACGGCCATCACCCCGGGTGGGGGGGACATGCCGGGGGAGGTGGGGTCTGGAACATGTGGGCTGCCTGGCATGTGGGGGGCAGCCCAGGACCTGGGCACTGGGAGTGGGTGTCTCCAGCTGCCGTCGGAGACGCTGGTACCCCAGCGCTGTGGAGCGGGGCAGAGGTGAGGGGAAGCCCCAAGCACCAGACAGCCGGATGGCCTCAAGCCGGTCCCCATGTCCACCTGCAGGTGGCAGCAACCCCCCCCCCCCGGCACCCCTCTACAAATGGGGGCTCTGCACACCGGGTGTGGCTGGGCAGGGGCAGCCGCGGAGCAGCACTCAAGGAGGGGGCCGCTCGTCCCCAGGCGTGAGGGGCAGGAGAAAAGCTCCAGCTGGCAGAGCTGAATGTTGGCAGCGCCAGGCGACTCCTGGGGCTGTGGGCACCCGTCGGTGTTCCCAGCAGACTGTCCCTGCAGGGGAAGGTGCGGTGACCCCAGGGCCCCTAGAACGCTGCCCGCCTGGCTCCCACCCCATGGGGAGGTGAGGAGCTCCAGGCTTCCCTCGGATCTTGCCTGGCACAGACTCAAGGCAGAGTCAGTGCCCAGCCGGAGCAGGCCAGGGGTTCGTGCACGGGCAGCGTGGCACAGGCTGCACAGTGGCTCCGCTACCCTGGCCCTTAGAGCCTCTCCCGCCCCTGCCCGTCTACCCGAAGTCCCCAGCATGTCGCCGACAGCCAGCGCATCGGTGCTGGGCCCGCGGCCACGGAGATGCAGAGGGGCCCATGTCCCACCCCTGGGCGCTGCGACCCGGCTCTGAGCACAAGGCAGGCGCAGGTGGGATCGGGCTCCTGTCTCCTCCTCGGGGCGGCGGTGCTGGGACTGGCATGAGGCTGCGGCGGAGCCAGCGAGCCCATCCCCGCACGGCAGTGCCGCTGGCCCCTATTTAACACTCAGCCTCCCAGGGCTCCCGGCCTAATGGGGACCATATGGCATCGGCAGCGTGGCAATACTGAGCCGGCTCCCGCCGGGCGGGCTCAGCCAATCCGGACGTGGGCGCCGCGCGGGGCTAAACGATGCAATTAATAAAATCATTTTCTATCCAGCTAAGGAGATAACGACTTGGCACAGCAGTGCCTCCCGTTCAGCACCGGCAGTGCCCTGGCAGGCCGGCAGGGGACGGCCAAGGAGGCACGTGGCTGGCTCGACACTAGGGGGCAGCGTCTCCCCACACATCCCTTCCCGTCCACCCCACCACGGCTCTCAGCTGCACAGCGAAGCCAGTTGGGCCCCAAGGGTCTGAGCCCAGAGCAGAGCAGCTGCCAACGTCGACACCCGCAGCAATGCCCACACCCCAATCCCTGGCTGCACCTGCACCACTCCGTGCAACCCCCCTCGTGCACACCCCAGGCACCCTCCCCGTGCACACACCGACCCTGTGTGCCCCCCCATGCACACGCACACCTGCACACACACCCTCCCCATGCACACGCACTCCTGCACACACCCCAGGCACTCTCCCCATGCACACACCAACCCTGTGCACCCCCCCTGTCGTGCACACACACTCCTGCACACACACCCCAGGCACCCGCTCTGTGCACCTCCCCGTGCACACGCACTCCTGCACACACCCCCTTCCCCGTGCACACACCAACCCTGTGCGCCCCCCCGTGCACATGCACTCCTGCACACACACCCTAGGCACCCTCCCTGTGCACACACTGACCCTGTGCACCCCCCCGGTGCACACGCACTCCTGAACACACACCCTTCCCACACACACACACTCCTGCACACATCCCAGGCACCCTCCCCGTGCACACAGCGACCCTGTGCACTCCCCAGCTGCATCTTCCTCCGTGCCCACGGCATCAGCTCCCCTCCCCGGCTCCACCTCCTCTGCCCCCCATGTCTCTAGCAGCTCCACCAGCCTGGCCAGAACCCGCCCGTCCTCCACTCCCAGGGGGCGGGTGAGCCTGAAGCCAACCGTGTGTCCTGACAGTGCCCATAGCACGTGCCAGCCCCACACTCAGCACCTTGGGCTGGGCCCCCTTGGAGGTGCAGCTGGGCACACAGCTCTGATTGCCAGGTGCACAGGCGACGTCCACTCCACTGCGGGGGCAGCCCGTTCCTACGCACGGGGGGGGCGCTGGCCACAGAGCAGCAGGGCCCTTGTCCCTCAGCACCAGTTCACACCCCTCTGGGTGGCCAGGCAACTCCCGACTGGAGGCCCAGCAGCCAGGCTTAGGACATGGCGGCGGGGGGGGGGAGGGGCTGGCCCCCTTCGCAGCGCAGTGGCTGCTCCTGAACCGCAGCAGGGGAGAGGGAGGGGGGCTGCTGCTTTCGACTCTCCCCTCACCCCCGCGGGAACAGGCAGCCCTCGGGAGCAGTAGGCTCTGACGGTGACTCTGACACTTGCTTTGGGCACTGGGACAGCCCTTGGCTGGCAGCAGGCCTTGGCACTGCTGGAGGTGCCCGGAGGAGGGACAGTGGTGCCAGCTATGCCCCAGCACTGCAGCGACCCAGCAGAGTCCCCAGCAGCAGGGCCAGGGCAGAGCTGGCAAGGAGCCCATGGGGTCCCCCTTGGCAGGGCAGAGCTGTGGAGGGCCGGCTGGGTCTCAGAGCGCACGGCGCTGGCTCCCAGGGGTTACATGACCCCAAGGGAAAGGACTGGGGCTGCCCTCTTCCTCCACGGGGAATCCCTGTGGGGACCGCCCACCCCCGGGCACCTTGTCCCCTGGGCGTTTGCTGCTCCCCACGGCGCACCACGAGGCCGCGATGCCCCACAGCGCGCCACGCAATCCGCATGGAATGGGGCCCCCAGCCGGCCGCGCAGTGGGGCAGGGTACCTGAAAGAAACCGGGTGGCATGGGTCCTCCTGGCATGCCGTCGTTCGGGGGCATGTTCCCCATCACGGGGCTAGGGGCTGCCGCGGCACTCTGCGGAGAAAGGGCAAAGGTCATCCCGAGGGGTCACATGCTGTCCAAGGCTGGGGAGGGGAGTCTGGGACGGTGGGAGTCAGCCCGCCCCCCCACCCTGCCCTGCATCCCCCTGGGAACATGCTGCGCCCCCCACTGCCCGGCCCCACTCCCAGCCCAGGAAGGGGGGCAGCCTCCAGGTAGCTGCAGTGAGGGGTCAGAAGCCCTGGCAGGGAGAGGCCTCTCCAGGTGGGACAGCCTGTATTGAGTATTGGGGGCCCCTCCAATATCCCATGCATGCCCCTCCCTCAGCACCCCACACGTGCCCCCCACGGCTGTGCTGAGCCCCTCCCCCACTCTCTGGCGCTGGTTTGGGCTGGTTCTCATAGGGCAGCGGTTGAATTTGGGGTTTGGGGGGAGCCTCCCCACACATGCTCCCTCAGTTACCCCCCGGAGGCTGTGCTGCTGAACATGTCCTGCGCCCCCCCAGCTCTCCCCCCCTCACTGCCCAGCCAGACCCCCACAGCTGGCTGGCCAGTGACAGAAACCTCCCACAGGGCTGAGGTGGCAACCTGGCCTAGTTGGTATGGCCCAGATCAGGGAGCCAGGACTCCTGGGTTCTAGTCCTGCCACTGACCCTGGGTGGGTCACTGCCCCTCCTGGTACCTCCCCTGTCCATGAGCATGAGCTCTGGGCCGATGCCCACAGACGCTGCTGAGAGACGTGTGCTCTGCCCTGGCTTGGGGCCCTCTGTGGGGAGCTGGAGGCGAATATCCTGCCCCTGCCATGGGTCCATCCCTCACCCCAGAGGGGTTCTGCTCCCGGCAGGGAGGGAATTCACCCTGCTGGGGGCAAGGGGCTGTCAGGCCAGACAGGAAGCAGATGTGCTTGGCTGTCAGCAGGGTGGCCACAGGCCTGGCCCCTCGGCGGGATGGCTTGTTTTTGAACAGCCGGGCTGTCAGCCAGGTAAATGAATGACGCGGTGTGCCAGGGAAGGGCTGAGAGCTGTCAATGTGTGGGCTGGGCATGGGGGTGGCACAGAGCGCCAGGGTGGCCTGGAGCCAATGCCTCTCTCCTAGGGCGCAGGAGCTCCCGGCACCTGACAGTGCTGCCTGTCTTGGCCAAAGACGCTAACCCGTGTGGACACAGCCGGTGCCAGCCATGCCCGAGGGCAGCACCCCCTCCTGGGGACAGGGGGGAGCTCGGCTTCCTTGGGGCAACAACGCTCAGGTCAGGCCCTGCGGCCCCACAAAGCAGGGAGGAGCCGGGTGTTTGGCCTCAGCCCTGCCCCCAGCAGCTCGGAGGCGGTGGGCCCTTGCTCCCCACCCGGAACGGAGGGCTGGGAATGTGCCCCTGCCCATAGCGCAGCCAGCCGAGGTGCCAGACCCTCGGGGAACACCCCTCCTCCCAGCCCGCTGCCCCCAGGCACTCGGCGAGGCTCTCACCACCAGCAAACAAACTCAATTAGGCTCAGCCTGGCGCCCGCTCGTTACCGCGGCTGCAGATTACCCCTCGGCTCCGGTCACCATGCTCCCCGTGTGCTAATTACGGCCCCTGCCCCAGGTCAGCTCCCCCGACTGCCCTCGTTACAGGTGGCACCAGGGGCGCTGGCCCCGGCACAGCTGACAGTCAAGGCAGCTGGGGCCGCGCTCATGGCCAACGTGCAGCTAATTGGATGAAATTAACGGCACTAATTAGCGAGGCATCAGGTCCGGGGAACGAACCATCCCTCAGGGGTGGGTGGAGCTGGCTCAGGGGGTCCCCACCCAGCACCGACCAGAGCAGCGGGGATGTGGCCAGGCCTCAGCTCCCTGCCAATGCCCCTCGGTCCCGACCCACAGCCGCTCTGCTCTGCCAGCGCAGCTCCCTCCCAGCAGGAGGGCGGGTGCACCTCTCCATAACTGCCAGGGAGCTGGGGGCCGTGGGAGCAGGTGAGGGGCTCCCTGCAGCTGCTTTCTGCTCCAAGACCCCTCCCACCTGCCCCCACCATGCACCAGGAGTAGACGCCCTTAGTAGAGACCAAGGGAGCTCCAGACTAAGCACCCTGCTCCCAGGCCAAACCTGGCCTGCACCTCGCTAGTCTGCAATGGGGCGGCGCAGTCCATGGACGCTATGGGGCCCAGCATGCTGGGGCCCGCTGGCCAGGGCACAGCCGCCCAGGACCCAGTGAGCGAGCGCCTCCTTGCCCCCCGATCATCCAGCCAGGACACATCTCAGTACGAGAGAGACAGAAATAGGTGGAGAATCCAGCCAGAGCTGCTTCCCCCCCCCCTCGGCAGAGCCCCAACCCCTGCCCGGGGAGTCAGAGTCAGGCCACCTGTGGGGCGGGGCGCTGCAGGCCTGGGCTGGGCTGTGGGGCAGGCCCACGTGGGTGTGCTGTGTGCAGGGGGGCACACGGGCCCCGCCGCCCGCGTCTGTCCAAGGGGAGCTATTAAAGCCAAGGAATGCGCTGGCTTTCCGGCTCGGCCCCTCGCTGCTCGGCCACAAATGGTTTCAATTTGAAAGGGAGGCGGCTGCTTTCTGCACCTCCATGGCCGTGCTGGGGAAGGGGCCTGCAAAGGGGCTGGGGGGCCCCGCTCCATGGGGCTGGCTGAGACACTGCCAAATCCAGGGCCCCGTGCAATCTCCCCTCCTCCTCCTGATCCTGTCGTCTCCTTCTGCCCTCTGCGCTGGGACCACCCCCCTCCATCAGCCCGGGGATCTTCCCTTCTGTAAGGCCCCTGCCCCCGAGCCGCCCTCCCCTCTTTTGCCTGGACAGGGCCTGCCCCGACTGGAACGCTAGGAGTTGCCCCCAGCCGGCCCTACCACGGCCTGGCAGACCCCCCCTTTGCCCCTGGGGACACAGCCCAGGCGGGGCGGGATGGTGGCGAACAGGAGGGATGGGTCAGAGGGAGCGGGTGACACCCGGGCACGGCACACAGAGGCAGCGTCTCTGCCCACACGGACGGTGGGAATGAGCTGAACAGCCTGACTCTCCTGCCCGGCACCGGGGGCCCAGCGTCCCCCCACACAGCAGCTGTGAACATCCTGGAATCCCAACAGCAGCATCTGTGCCCGCTTGGCCCCGGGGCAGACGGCAAACGCGGTGCAGGGCGGGGCCAAGGCCTCCGGACAGGACAGACAGACCAACCAGCAGTGAGGGACGCACACAGGCTGCCCTGCTCTGGAACAAAGCATGTCCAGTTGTGGTGAAAGGAACCAGGGCTGGCCCGGCAGCGAGTGGGATGGGCACACTCGTTACCAGCGCCAGAAACAGCCAGGCCACAGAGCCCAGATGCCTCATCCCCTCCCAGGGCCCTGTTAGAGCCAGGTTGGGCACACCGGCCGGTCTTGCTCTGGGGGACCAGTCTAGCCATCCCCAGAGCACAGCTATTCTCTCCCCCGCAGCCCTTTGAGCATGACTCACCCAAGGCCAGGGTCCCCCCACCCACCTGGCAAGCCCTGGGGGAGGCTGCAGCTGTAGCTCAGGGGCACAGCGTCTGGCCCTCACCCTTGCATCAGGCCAGTTTCCCTCCCTCCCTCCCTCCCCATGTCCCTTTTACAGCTCAGCGTGGCTGCACAGAGCGGTGACCCCCTGAGGGGCACCCTGGGGGGGCTGGCACAGGATGTTAGCACTCGCCTGTCTCACTGCTGAGCCTGGCAGGCCCCTGTGCCCCACATGCATTAGCCCCCCCTGCGCGGCAGACCCATCATGTACTGGTCCGGGAATAACCAGCCCTGGAGACCCCCAGCTGGCGCCACCGGCGGGGAATTTCAGCCACCTCCTGCCGCCCACTGCAGATAGAGGGCCGGGCTACCAGGGAGAGAACACGGGACATCCAGTCCCACAGCCCAGCTGGGCTCCAGGGCTCAGCAAGCGACCAGACCAGCCGCATGGCAAGCCGAGGGTTAATACTGAGCATATGGGGGGAGGGGGCCCGTTAGCTGCCCCCCTGCTCCCCCAGGCTGCACCCTCCCGCTGGGAGCAGATAGTGATCTCAGCCCCGCGCCCACCGGCTGCTTGACACACCGTCTCCGGCTCTTTCCACAGGCGCCACATGCCAATGCCTGCCCAAGGGGCCAGACCCTCCGTGTCCAGCACGTTCAACCCTGGGTGCCCCAAAGGGACCCACCCCGAGTGCTGTATATGGGAACAGGACACCCCCTCCATGGAGCATGGGCCTCCACTTGCTGGCTCATGCCCCATCCCCAAACCCCAGGCCCCTGCCAGAACATGCTGGCCATAGGCATTGTGACGTCACAGGCTGGTGTGACATCAGAAGGCCACTCCCAGTGATGTCACAACGGCCCAGCTGGAGGACTCTGCCCAGCCTCCTAGAGCAGCTGGGTATTTTTACCCCTCTGCTCGCGGGCATCTCCCTGCCGTCCACAGCAGCAGAGCTGCCTGGCGCTCCGGGATCGGGCTGGCTAGCCATGGGCAGCTCTGTGTGTGCACCCTCCAGCCCCTCACATGGCGTGTGCTCCGCTAGCCCCCACAGCCGCCCCCACCTGACAGAGCCCAGCGGCTCCTCTCAGGAGCCAGTGACTCATTTACATGAAATATGACTAATCCCTTCCGTGACAGATGTCACCAATTGAGCAAGCGGGCGCTGCACACAGCCGGGCTTGCTGGAAACACTCCCTCCATCACGCTTAAATGGAGAGGCGACGCCGGCCGCCCGCCTGGGCACGGCCCCACAGCTCAGCAGCCCCGGGGCTGGCCAGCTGCAGGCTCCTGGCAGGGGAGGTGCAGGGAGGGGTGGGGGCACCATGCCCACGTGGTCCTGTCGGGCAGCCCCCTCCCCGCTGGGTCGGCAGGGATCCGACGAGCGCTGGCATGGACGGCAGAGATAAGGAGGCCGTGTGGGCGGGTGGGTTGCTCACTCACTAATTCCCTGCCGAGTGACGACACGCGACACAATCACAACTGGGGCAGGAATAGACTGACAGCTGCGCCCCCCCCCACGCAGAGCCAGCGCCTGGCTCCTTCTCTCCTCCCTGGCTGAACCCCCACCCCTGCCCCGGCTGTGTGTCACCACGGG